TTTGTCACTTATGCTTTAGCGCTGCCCTTATATTTGAATTGAGATCCATTAATCAATTGACTTGGGTACAACAAGCCTGCCCATAAATGTATCGAATTTCTGATCCCTGCTGAACCAGCCAAGTTTTGATTTATCTATGGCTGGCTTTAGTGACCAGCTTTAGTTGATGAATCCAATGGTAAACCTAAGCACATTCACCTGCTTAGATTTGTCTGCCATTGCCAGTCTTTCATCCACATATCCAGGGTGTTTCTAAATTTCCCTAGCAGCAGGAATATAGAGTATTTCTGGAAAATGCAAATAAAGATATTAATGCTTATGTGATCTGGAATGTGTCAAACAACCTTTGTACCTAGAGCGGATGATCATCTAATGTGCTAATGTGAAGTGCATGATCACGGAAATAATCATTTTACAAACTTATTTTTAATGTTATAAAGTTATCTTTAAATAAATGGGTGACTGAACTTTGGGAAAGCATTTCACTTTTTTTTTTTTTTTTTTTTTACTAATCCCAGTTGCGGAGTAATATGACCCTTTCAATCACTTGCCTCTTTGAATGTTTCAGTTACTGCAATGGGCTAGTAGAAAGGAGGTTGATAGCGGCGATGATTTACTAAAGAACTAGAGAGTATCCATATTCAGTTATTTTTCACTGAAGTTTAGTGTTAGAGATGAAACTATGGAAAAATATATTTTGTAAAGAATACCCAATCATGTGCAAGGAAAATTAAAAAAACAGGATTTTTGCTTACACATGACTGAAATCAGCACAGCTTCACCTCAACCACTGAGCTGTGAATTTACATTTTTCTATGTGAACTTTTACTTAGCTTAATGAATAAACTGAAGCTTGGCTGTCCTCCGTCAACCAATCATGGGCAAGCAAAAATCCATTTTTTCCTTACACACAATTGGGTATTCAGAATGAAACTGCTCTACTTTTTTAGTAAATCAACCCCCATGTGGATTGTTCACATAGAAAAGAGGGTGCTTGCACAGTTATAACAAATACCCATTAGATCTATTGAATTATTCTTTTTAAAAAATCAGAAAATAAAATTAACACTTACAACTGATATTTATGAATTTTTTTTAAGCAGTTATATATCCCCATTTGTTCAGGTGTGTCCTAGCAAATTAGAAAGCAGTATATACCTATTACCACGACTGCATTGTCAGCTTGCATGTCCTTTTCTTACTTGAATGCCACCGTAAAATGCACCAAAAAAGCAACCTTCACTGTGATCCTGGGCCCACATTTATTCCAGGGAGCAGACAGATGTTTGATAGTGTCAGATACTGCAGACCATGCAAAAGCAATCTAGGTTTTGTGGATGTGAAATCAGTGACTAGTATATATATATATATATATATATATATATATATATATATATAGTATATAATGGTTTGAACTCTGCTTTCAAAACTGCATAATTTTAACTATTTTTTGTGTAATAAAAATTAACTATAAATATTTTTATATAGATAAATCTTTCTGTCTTTTTGTGCCTTAAAAATCCCAAAAAAGGTCAATTCTTTATTTTATTTTATTTTTTGAAATGGGGTAGATTTTGGGTTATTACATTTGGTAGACATTTGCAGGTCAAACAGAACTGCCTCAATTTTTCTTGATCCTTCCTTTATGTACAAACATTAAAACAGACCATCATTAGAAAGTGGTTTCTGTGTGTAAAAACAAGAGAACTCACTTGTATATACTACTTACAAACCAGAGCGCTACCTATGAAATCAGTGCAAAGGCCATGTGTAAAATTTAGCCTATGCTGCCATCTAGTGTATTTCTAGGTGAAGAACACAAGAATTTGCTTTCTGTTTTAGTCAGCATCTTTACATTTTGTAAATTATTAGAAATATCCCCAGCAATGGCAACTCACCCTAAAATCCAGGAATAAATTCCTTTCACATTTCATACTGGAATCAACCGTATGGTTAAGAGATTCCTGCAACTACTTCCAATTAGTGAAGGCGTATAACACGAATAAGATACTGTATGAATAAGATCTCAGGTGAATGAGTGAAATCAAGGGAGATTTGCATATCATTCAGGATGAGAGGAGTAAAAACAGGGTGACCCCCCCCACCCCGGATTTTACAATGAAATAAGATATACTGTCAGCACAAGAACAAGCTTTTTTTTAAAACTCTTGTTTCTAGCATGATCACACAGAAAGCCAATGTTTCGTTATGCCTGATGAAGGGTCCTTGCATGGTCCAAAAACATATGTGGTCATATATAGGCAATGATCTAATCTCTCTGATGCCCACCTATTTGCTTATGTAACCAATACTGTAGCACCTGCTTCTTCCTTATCAACCATTGAAACCTAGAAGCTGTTGTTTTCATCCATGCCTAATGCCCTAAATGTTTGGCGAACTTATATTTGGACTGAACATTGACCTCATCCTCGGGCACTTATTACCTTATAAACTGTTCTTCCAGGTTGACAACTCTCATATTGCTGTTCATGAAATAATTACTACAGATAGATATTTAAAATGTGAACTTTATTCATCTAAAAGTGGGAAGCAACTAACGAAATTTTGACCACAAATCTAAAATCATCATCAATGTTCAGATTTATTGTAGGTATAGTAAAGTGGTTTGCTAGCAGGGGCGGACTGACCATTTGGAAACTCGGGCACTGCCCGAGGGCCCAGGGTCAGTAGGGGGCCCCATGAGATGCCCTTGGTACCTTTTTCATAGGCTTTTTTGAGTTCGGGCAAGGACACAGGGGCCCCATGATCCCCTATTGCCCGGGGGCCCCATGAGTTGTCCGTCCGCCCCTGTTTGCTGTTTGCTGTTGCTAGCAAACAAATAGCTATGTAAAAGTAGCTATGAAAGGTTCACTTTACTTGTAAGTAAGACACTCAAGGGGAGGAGCTAAGGGTTGGCTATACAGATATGCCAAATATAAAAATATGAGGGTTCTCTAAAAATATTTTTTTAACATATAAAAAGGCTTTTTGAAAACCCCTCATATATAGTTGGACTTATTCTCTAAACAAGTCAGCAAACACCACTGTGAAAACCTTGCCATGGCCATAGACTTGATAACACCTTCTGGTTGTAAATCTCTTAGAATTTTCAAAAATTGATTCATGTTTTCAAAAACTGTACTGATCTGCACCATTAAAATGTGTCTTCCTCCCACTCTGAGGAGTGGATGACGAAATTCACAAGTGCAGATATATTTAGGAAAGCAGAAGGATTGAAAGATACAGAGTCACCCACAAAGAAGATTGTGAGGACTACACAAGAACAAATTCTGGAGGAATCACTGAGTGGCGAATATCCTGTGAACTTACCAAAAGAGATTTCTGACCTTCCTGGCATATGAGGCCTTTTGATCCAGTAAACTGCTTTTTATAAGGAACAGGGGCGGACTGACCATTTGGAAACTCGGGCACTGCCCGAGGGCCCGGGGTCAGTAGGGGGCCCCATGATATGCCCCTGGTACCTTTTTCATAGGCTTTTTTGATTGTGGGCGAGGACACAAGGGCCCCATGATCCCCTATTGCCCTGGGGGCCCCATGAGTTGTCAGTCCACCCCTGATAAGGAGGTGAGGCAATCTAACATGGATGCAGGTGGCTGTAATAACCCTGGACTGTCAGCATCCAGTGGTGTACATGTGTACAAATGTTTATGCTATGAGCTGCGTATACCTGTGTACAGCTGAATCTTGTAATTCATCTACATGCAACACCTGTGACTCCCGGGCATCCAAATATGGCTGTATTTAACATTATACCATCAAATACGCCAATTTGCCCATTTATACAGTTTTTTTTTATGCAAATACAGTATGTCAGCCTAAAAAGACAGGGTGATAGGGCAATGGTACACCCTATGGTGAAAACAAGGGCTAAATTGTTGAATGAATGCAGCATTTAACATTAAATCAAATAAATTGCGAGCAAGAATCAAGCTTTTAAAATCTTCTTCGCATATCACTGGGTATTCTTTGTAAAGTGAAAATTCTACTTTAGTAAATCAGGGTCTTTGTCTTCCAAAATTCGCTGGGAGTGAGAGCAGTTTTTATGCAGATGTACAGTATATACTGTAATTATTTTTCTGCTTTGAATCTTTTTATTGTTGGCTGGAAATGATTATGACCACTTCAGCACTGAATTATTTCAACTTTATGGTTTGGAGATTTTTTTTTTTTCACCCGAGCCACCGGAGGAACCCTGCTGTATCCTGTACCGAAAAACTGAACCATGTCTGTGGAAGAATGGACTGCATTAAATGTGTTGAAAACTCTTATGAAAATAACAAAGACACCAAGAGATATCTTTAATGTACATAAATGAGTTTCCTGGCTTCCTGAAAACCTTTAACCACTTCAGGTCCGGACACTTTCACCCCTTTCCAGTCCAGGCCAATTTTCAGCTTTCAGAGCTATCACACTTTGAATGACAATTGCACGGTCATGCAACACTGTACCCATATGAATTTTTTAACATTTTTTGAGACAGATAAATCTTTATTTTGGTGGTATTTATTCACCACTGGGATTTTTATTTTTTTTGTTATATAAATGAAAAAGTCCAAACATTTTGAAAAAAAAGTGTTTTTCTAAAATTTTGCAATTAAATAATCTTTCTTCATAAATCTTGGCCAAAATGTATTAATCTATCTTTTTAGTAAAAAAAAAAAATAACCCAAATTAGTTTATAACCAAAAATTATAATTTTTCAAAATTGTTTTTTTACATTTTTATTTTTATTATTTTAAATTATTATTTATGTTTTTTGGTTTTTTTTTTTAACATACTGTAACCCTAGCAGTACAGTGTCACCATAGTGACACTGTACTACTTGTGGGGGGTGATGAAGATTTTTTTTTCTTTTTTTACACTGATTGCTTTTACACCCATAAAGGCTGTAAAAGCAATCATTTCTCCTTCTCTCTGGCTGAATTCTTGCAGTCATTGAGAAATACTGTGAGAGCTGTGATTGGTCATAACCTGTCACATGGTTCAAGGCTGTTGTGAATAGCCTTGTACCATGTGACCTCTGTGATCATTCACAGATTTCACAAGTATTAAGCAATGATATCAGGAAGTGACATCTTGTTTACTACTATTCATGTGATCACTGATTGGCCAATCAGTGCTCACATGAATCGGGACTGTACACAGAGGTCTTTTACAGCAATGGATTTGGGGGGACATTTAGAAATGTCCAACCGCTCCGGCAGCGCTCCCTTCCAGCCGTTTATGCACAGGGGCCAGACAGAAGTGGTTAACCTTTCATGTGGGCTCGGCATGAATCTTGGCCCCAGCATAAGTCTACTACTTGGCTTGATACATTCTCTCTTAAAGTGGTTGTAAAGTTTGTTTTTTTTTAAATAACAAACATATTATACCTACCTGCTCTGTGCAATGGTTTTGCACAGAATGACCCTGGACCTCCTCTACTGGGGTTCTCTGCTGGTGCTCTTGGCTCCTCCTGTTCCCCAAGTGCCCCCACAGTAAGTCACTTACTATGGGGGCACTTGTGAAGGCTCAATCCAGAGCTGGGCTGTGTGCATCCATAGCTTCCTCCTCCCATGAATTTAACTGATGGCAGCAGGAACAAATGGTGCCAGCTGCCCTCAGCTAAACTTGTGAGAGCACAGAGAGGAGAGAGAAGAACTGGAGCTTGGCACGGCACTGGACATATACAGGATTCAGGTAAGTATTGGGGGGGGTTCACTGATATTGGAATGTTTTTTTTACCTTCATGCAGAAAATGCATTAAGGTACACAAACCTTTTGTCTTTACAACCACTTTACGGAAACCATAAGTGCCCCCATAGTAAGTTACTTGCTATGGGGGCACTTGTGAAGGCTCAATCCAGAGCTGGGCTGTGTGCATCCTTAGCTTCCTCCTCCCATGATTTAACTGATGGCAGCAGGAGCAAATGGCCCCAGCTGCCCTCAGCCAAATGTGTAAGAGCCAGAGAGGCTGGAGCTAGGCAGCGGCTGGACCTATACAGGATTCAGGTAAGTGTTGGGGGGGGTGTTCACTGATATTGGAATGTTTTTTTTACCTTCACTGCAGAAAATGTATTAAGGTATCAAAAACCTTTTGTCTTTACAACCACTTTACAGCAACCATAAGTGCCCCCATAGTAAGTTACTTGCTATGGGGGCACTTGTGAAGGCTCAATCCAGAGCTGGGCTGTGTGCATCCTTAGCTTCCTCCTCCCATGATTTAACTGATGGCAGCAGGAGCAAATGGCCCCAGCTGCCCTCAGCCAAACTTGCAAGATTTCCCCTCACTGTGAGTCTTGTTCACACCACACAACACAGCAATGTTCGTAATGCATGTACTGCGCTACCGTATACTACTATGCATTGTTATGCTTTGCAGTGCTCACTGCTTTTGTTATTTCTTTCTCTCTATAGCGCCTTGTAATGTCCTGCAATAAAATGATTCCTCCTTCATTTTACCGCAATGTATACCTACGTGACTCCTTGTTGTGAACAGGTCTTATACAATGCAAGGCTTTTTAGCCTTGTCTTTGCATTGGGGCTCTGTTGGGCAATACTGCCTAATGTCACCCCAGTGAGATCAGGAAAAGAAATGAGTGGAACAGGGATCACCAGGAAAAAAGATACATACAGCAATGAAAACCAGATGTGTGCTATTAAGGTAGTTATAATAGCCTTTTGCATCCCGGTAACCTCTACCAATTGCTTCAGAGGAAGGTTGGTGGACATGCCCAAAGGTTAAAAAGTTTTGGATCTGGGTAAAATATTTGATATATTCTTTATCCCAAATCGACCTTAAAAAAAATCACCCTGGCAAGATTTACTCTAAATATTTATTTTCCTAGAAGCCAAGATAGCAATAGCAAAAACTTGGAAATCGTCAACCATCTTATTCACATCAATAAATGCAAAATTGTAATGGATGATGGTAAATTAAAAGTTATCTGCATATTTGAATTACAAAATAACTTTCTTTGAAAATCAATGAGACCTACGGATACACTATATCTCTGGAAATAAACAGCTTTATAATGACACACGGGACAGACAGAGCAGTTCAGTGCATTTCACGCTACAACATTTGTTTTTTCTCTTAATGTTTTCCCCTTTTCTTTTCCTATCTTTTTCTCTTCCTTTGATTTCTTTGATTGTATTTAGATGTGAATTTAAATATTGAAAACCAGTGCTGTGCAATTTATTTACATACCACACATCTGCTAAATACAAAATAAACTAAATATAATGCATCCGTGCATAAAAACTTGGTAAGCCGTCATGCTGAAAAATAAGTGCGATAAAAAAATTCAGTGATGAATCCAACCAACAATTTACAGTTTATGTGCAAGAATACTTTATAAATCCATTGTTTGTAAATAACTGTCCTCCAAGAAATATATGCAGAAAAGAAATTTGTACAAACAATCATTTTCACCCCAAAACAATAATTGCTATTTCAATGTCCACTACTTAGTGATCATAAATTGGGTCGGTAAATGATAACCTTTAAATTAAGTCAATCAGTTGTCTTTTATGATACACTGAACTCCACACTGTTTTGACCTTTGTAACCACCAATGTGCAATCAATGCCCTCACCTTAGGAATCAGGCATATATAGATATACGGGTCAAACCAACGTGTTCCCTTTAATGGAATAGAAAGCTCAAATGACTCTTCCACCGTCCTCCTCTGGGGGGCTATGTAGCTTAAAGCAAACAGAAAATCACTCCATAGCGCTTTATGTTAAAACATCCATTTATTAAAAAACATCTAAAAAAAAACTCACATTTAGGTGTGCACAACCTTGTTGCATTGTAGATGATCACATCAGATATCAATATCCTTCAAAGTAGCTGTAGTCAGTGCTGCTGGCACATTGCACCCAATTACTTCCTGGTTCTTACGATGAAGTCACCTGGCTCCGCCCTATGTGTTACATCACAGGGCACGTGCCTTCCTCAGGGGTCTCCTCTCACCCCTTGATTTCATACATGGGCTCAGTATCTAGCCTGCTCAGGGCATCCATGTGAGAGCTAACAAACTCATTGACTATTTATACACAGACAGTGATTGCAATTTAATACGTCATATATGTGGTATATTAACCTTTAATTGCCATTTTAACCTGTGTGTGTCACCTTGTGTGTCTGTACCAAGGCCAAATATTCCAGGGTATGTAAACTTTTGATAAGGGTCATTTTGGTGATTTCATTATGATTTAAAAAGCAGCCAAACTATGTGATAATAAATGGCTTCATATGATCACTATCCTTAAATAAAAGACAGTTTTTGACATGATCAGTCATATTTTCAATATCAATGCCAAAATTTCACGAATTCTGCCAGGGTGTGCAAACTTTTGAGCACAGATTCAATGTCAGGTGCTGGAACTAAAAGGGTGCCATTGGACTGATATCAATCTGCCCAGTGATGCTTTAGCCTACAGGGGGAACATTGAAGCCACAATTCGGCAGATATATGTTCACAGCAATGGTGGCCAGTGGTGGAACCCCTGGAGACAATTTCACAAACCCTGGCTGAGAAGCCTCTAGAAGCTAGATTACACCATATTTTTTTTTAATTTAGTGCCCCATTAGGCTACTAGTGGTTAATTCTAGTTTCTGGCTTCCCTGTAGTCAGGGAGAACAATAATTGTTTGGTTAGGTATGCTCTGGGTTCTGTTGCTGTGGGCTAGCCAGGGGTGGACTGACCATTTGGGCACTCAGGCACTGCTCGAGGGCCCAGGGTCAGTAGGGGGCCCCATGAGATGCCCCTAGTACCTTTCATAGGCTTTTTTTTGGGTGTAGTTTGAGTGTGGGTGAGGACATATGGGCCCCATGATCCCCTATTGCCCAGGGGCCCCATGAGTTGTCAGTCAGCCCCTGGTGCTAGCTGCATCCCAGGGAGTTGGGACATAGCAGGTCGATCAACACAGATCCCAGCTTGCATATTGATGCTCTTCCAGCCAAGCCCTGGTAAGGGCTGTGAGTGACCAGCAGGGGGCTGGAGTAGGTATAAATAGGCTTGAATGCAGAGCAGAGCGTTCCAGGGAGAAAGAACCAGTCTGAGGGCTGTGCCATCTCTAGGAACTCCACCTGCAGCTGCAAGAATCTTTTATGGGGTCCTGGCTACTGCTTGGCTGGGGGACCTCTGTTTTAGTCTACTGAAGCATTTGCATAAAGTTTCCTAAGGACCCAGGTCACAGGCAGTTAGAGAACAGAAACTGATTGATACACAGTATTCAGGACACAGTGAATAGCAACCTTCTGACTTAAATATATTATATATATATATATATATATATTATAGATATTTTCTTTGACCTCTTTTGGGGGATTTACATTAGTACCAGTACACTCAGGACTGTACTCCTGTTGAGGAGTTCCTGTTTAGTACCAGTTTGTCTACTCTTCAAAGGGGTACCTTCACCCCGAAGTATTAGTTCAGTGTTAGTGTCCTCTACTACCAGTTTTAAGTTTATTGAAGTATCCCTAGGCTCACCCTCACCCTATCCAAGTTCAATAACAAAAATAAATAAATAGAAACCACCAAAAAAGACATGCACAGCTTGTTCTCCGACTCAAGTGAGTGGGTAATGCTGTGTGCCTGATCGCTGTGTGCCTATGAGGATATGGAACCTGAGTTCAGACAGACCAGTTAAAGCTCTGCACTACATACTCATATGAAGAGCCCTTTAGGGAAGCCTACCACCATCATTTGGATTTGCTGTAGCAGTTGGACTTAATTAAGAATGAAAATGGATATATTAAAAGTAAATAATATATATAAGCTGGGTTTTTTTTTAGCAGGAATGTGAGGGAATGCAGTTCCAACACCTCCAGCACTAAATGTATGTAAGGTGTGCTGGAGGGATCTATTGTTGCTGGAGGAGATCTATTTTTGAATGTGGATCTATTGTTGCTGAGTGTTCTATTGTTGCTGGTGGAGGATCTATGGTTAGCTGGGAGAGATCTACTGTTGAGGGAAGGGTCTACGGTTTCTATTGTGGCTGCAGGGGATCCATTTCACTGCTTTTCATGTTATCAACAAATTCCATACAAATCACTTATCACCATAAAATGATACTTGGCTCTGTATTCTCTAAAAGGGGTGCTACTGGAAGGTGGGTAGGGGGTGGAATCAAGGGACAGTACTCGGAGGTGGGTAGGGGGTAGACATGTGTGGTTCGTTTTGA